TGTGTTTGCACATGTTGCAATGCTAGTTTTAATTTTCCCTCTTTATATATAATGAGAAATTGGCGGTTCTGCTAAAGGCATAAAAAACTAACATGTGTCATCTAAATACATGATGATATGTGTCATCTAAATATATGACATGTCTTTATATCCTAGCAGAAGATGGCCCACGGATAATCTTATCTTCAACTAATTAAGAAATCCTAGCAGAAGATGACACATGGACACTTAATCTTATCTTCAACTAATTAAGAAGTCACACGAAATTAAAATTATCCATAATTAAAAATAATCAAATATTTGATAATTCTAATCAAATTATAATTATCTATATTAAAAAAAATCTCATAATCAATTCACTTCTTTATATATAAATTGATGAACTACTCTTAAGGCTCAAAAACATGTCATATGTCAAAAAAATGTCATATGTCAAAAAAATGTCATCAACCCATATATCCTATCAGAAATTGACATGTTGACATGTACTCTAATTTTCACTTAAGAATCCTAATCAATTTAAAACAATTCATGCTTAAAAATTCTAATAATCAAAAGCCCCCTTTCTAATCATCTTTACTTCAAAATCCTTTTCAAATTAAAACTATCATAATTTAAAAATCCTATTAATCAAAGCCCCTCTTTATATAAAAGGGGTTTTCAAGATTAGAAAATTATCAGCTATCCCTTTTACATCCAAAAGTTAGGATTGTGATCCTCTACTAATGAGGAGCTTTCTAATATCTTCTAATGGAATCTTGGCCTTTGATTTATCAATCAAAGGTCAAGATCTCCTCATGAGCAAAAGTAGGGAGAGGATAATGATGAGATCTTGGCATTTGATTGATAAATCAAAGGCTAAGATCTCTTTATTAGTAGATAGTAGTAGAGGATCCATTAGTAGAGGATCCCAATCCTAAAAGTTACAAATTGTCCCCGAGATTCAAAATTTAGAAATAGTCTCCTGATAAATCTAAAATTTCGAAAAGGCCTATAAAATAGTAAACTTTTTGCAAATAACACCTTAGGATTATTATTAATAAACAAAAAAAAATCGAAAAATTACAAATAGCATCATAAAATTTAGAAAATTGTAAATTGGCCCTTTTAAAATTCTAGAAAATCCAAAAATTACAAAAATCCTATGAAAAGTTTAAAAATTACAAATTGCCCCCTAAAATTTAATTAAAAATCCCTTGAAAATTTTATAACTAGCTCCCTAAAAGTTTCAATAATTACAAACATTCCTTTGAAAACTTTACAAATAGCCCTTTAAAATTTTTACAACTATCTCTATGAACGTTGTAAAAATAACAAACATCCTACTAAAAGTTTGAAGTATCACAGACAACTGCCTAAAATTTTTACAACGACCCCTTAAAAGTTAAAAAAATTACAAAGATCGCCGAAGAATTAAGAAAAACCCTTGAATATTTTGTAAATCACAAATAACCCCACAAAATTTTTACAAAATAGCTCTCTGAAAACTTTACAACTACCCTTTTGAAAAGTTTAAAAATTAGAAACAACACCCCAAAAATTCTAAAATTACAAATAGCCTTCTTATTTAACATATTATATTGTAATATTATAATATATCATTGTGTGGGGCTTGCATGAGGTGGGAGGGTATAATGGTCATGGAAAGTCCTATCTCCTTTATACTAGGGGGTGGTGAAACTTCCTGCTACCCATTTTTGAGGATTAGAGGAAAGTCATAATCTCATTTATATCCCAATCCCAGGTGTGCCGAACATGAGCATTGATCAAAATCTCAGGACATTGAAATACCAGTCATTTTTTAGTTTTTATGGCATAAATTTTTATTTAGATTTATAATGGAGATTGATGGTTAAACTGTCTAATATAAAGGAGATTGATGGTTAAACTGTCTAATTTTAAATTTCAAACTTAGTATTGTAATTTATCTAAGAAAAACCCTATCACTCAAACTATCTACTTTAACTGATAAAAAAGTTGTATTCTCTTCTTCTCAGAACATATCAAAAAAATGTATTCATTGTCTCTTCCTCCATAAGCCTTTAATGTATTAGTTAATAGATGAACTGTAAGTTATAGTCTATACAGAAATATAATCAATCATGTATCCTATTACACTAGGTATCTAAACATATTCGAAGGGCGTGTAAACCAACATATTCAAACTAAAGAAATCAAACAATCCATGCGAGCATGGGGTTAATACTTATTTAGGTGGTGCCACATGTAGCTATGGGGACTGCATGGATTTTTTTGGCGATTGGGCAAAGAAAAAAATCTTTTTCGCTAGCCTTCGACGAAGAAAAGCAAAGCGAAAGTTTGGAACCTTTTTCTCCTATATTTCATCACATTTTCATTTTCATTTTCATTTTGCTTTTCTTCAATCCAAAAACTGTAAATTAAGTTTTTTCACTCATTTTCTTTTCTTTTCATCCATTTTTGTTCAAATCAAACATATCCTTATTGAATGATGTAAAGGCAAGTCCAAATATACATGTGCACATTGGTCATATCTCTCTCGACTATCTGCTGATGAGATGAGAGTAAGCTTTACCAAAAAGCACATTGGTGGAACTTGGGTTGCCACTCATAGTAATCACCTTTTGAGCTCTCAATTTATGAATCTTCATATGAACTCTCAATTTAGGAACTCGTTAAGATAAAGATTTGGTCCAAAAACGATTAGAGTTTAGATTATTCTTTCTTTTTCCTATTTCCTTTGAACATATTGAGTGATTTTTATATTATATGTCTACTTGAGTTGCGAGTACATGTGCTCTTGAGCTATGCGGCTTGAGAATTTCTAATGAGGTCGCAACATTGATGTAAAATGCATCAAACATGAACTCGGCTGTTACTTGAGATGTTGCTCTGTTAATCAATATACCCCTAGCGTGAAAACATCACTTTTTAGAATCTTACTGTTGGCTTGCCATATTTAATTCCTTGCAGGCAATGATGAAGGATCAGTTTGGAAACTATGTGGTACAAAAAGTTCTCGAGACCTGTGACGATCATAATCGTGAACTTATACTGTCACGTGTCAAGGTTCACTTGAATACTCTGAAGAGGTATACCTATGGTAAACATATTGTTGCCCGAGTTGAGAAGTTGATCACTGCTGGAGGTAGAAGAACTACTTTCAATTTCCTCATGGAATTTTGACAGAAAATACTATTTTTTCCTCTAATTTATATTTTTTTTAACTTTTGCAGAAAGACACATTGGGATGTCATCGTATAGGACCTGAGACAACTACAGAATATCAAGCTAGTTCTTGTACATATAATGAGGATAGACATAGCTGCTAGCTGCTGGATATTTTTCTTTTCAGCATAAAATGAGGAAGTTAGAAACATGGCCTTTTTCATGTAAATAAAGTGAAGGCCTGTTGGAATAATGCATGGAGCTTTTTTTATTTCACTCTGTATAGCCTTGAACTTATAATTTAGACTTGTAAAAATTAGCTGCAGCTTTGATGCCATAAGAAGCGATATTTAGTGCATAAGATGTAGGACGAGGTCTCTAGTGTTTGTGAACTGTGTAAGGATTTGTCACGGTTAACCAAGCTGTAAAAAGAACCAAGTGTGCAGAGGTCTGCCAAGACTTGTCTTTCAATTTGAGAAAATTTTGTCTATTTCTTGGTTGCGTTAGTGTTCTTCATTAGTATTTTAGATACAATTGTTCGAAGCTATTCTCTTAAAATCCTCTCGTTTCGTGGTTTTTCGATGTATGGGCTGTGAATTATTCCTCTAGAGTCCTAGGTATCAAAGTTGTCGTATATTTCCACTCTGTTAAGTAGTGCAATTATGCATAATATGCGCGTGTGAACCTTGATCGTATGTATAGTCTCAAATAAAAATGACCGTATTACTAACAAGAAGCGAAACTTACAAACTGAAAATAGCTTAGAATGCAACTAGGCAAACCCATCACAGATTCGCACTGGTTATTACACTTGCTTTGCTTATGCATTCCCCCGCTACTGGTCCAAAAAAAGTTATGCGTGAGCAAAATTTATGATAGCGAAGTAAAACGACGCGCTTGAGGATAGGTAATATCAAAGCCAAGATTGTTCAAATTCGAATAATTTAAGCTTGATCGCCGCTTGTTTGCAAAGTTATGCGGCCTATCCTATTTTTCATGGATCGATGCTTTTCTTTTCGCTATAAAAGATTTTGTGTTTTGCAATTGGCTACCCTCCAACACTTTTCTTCTACCGAACTTATTCTCTTGAAGTATTTGGAAGGCAACAAGGCGGCTATCTAGAATATGCTCATCTGAATTCATATTGGCGAGAGGCACTAGGGGCACACCCTCTATCACACCTCCATCCACACCATCTCTCTCGTTACAGTGCACCGGGCCCACATGAGATTTTATTAAATAAAATCTCATGTGGGCCCGGTGCACTGTAGCGAGAGAGATGGTGTGGTAGAGGGTGTGCCTCTATCATTTCTATTTTACAATTCGAACGCCCGCGGAGGAAACAAACAGATTACTAAAAAAGTTTCCTATTTTGCTTCCAAGCAAAAAACTTCCCCGTTAAATTGTTTTGTTTGTGGTACCTCTAATCGCAAAAATAGCTGCGGGTGAAGTTATATTGGGGAAAATGTGACAGTAACGCTCATCTAAATTCATTTCTAGGAAATTTTATTATGTATTCTAGTGTAAAGTTTTAATCTTACAGCTGGCAATTGAGGACATCTGCAGATGCGGTTGAAGGATTGACATAAATAAATGAATTGGTGAATGAACACGGGTGCTCCTTTCTTTTTCCGGACAAATTTTCAAAAGCAACCCATTTAATAAACTAATTGCAAAAAACGACCCATTTGGGATTTATTTAGAGAAACCGACCTGGTTTCAGCACTGTCGCTGAAACCAGGTCGGTTTTTCTAAAAAACTTTACGAAACTTCACGGGAGTTCAACTCCCGTGAAGTTTTTTCACATAACAAAACTTCACGGGAGTTGAACTCCCGTGAAGTTTCGGAATTTTTTTTTCAAAAACCGACCTGGTTTCAGCGCTGAGGCTGAAACCAGGTCGGTTTTTACAATAAGTAATCTTATTTCCTCTTATAGGCTAAAAGAGAAGACTTCAACATAATCAATGATCGAATAATGCCAATCATTGGGTTTGAAACCCCCGAATGTAGTGCACAGCGCATTGGCTTCCATGATCTATTTGGGGCAACATAGTTGGTGACTAGCTACCGTAAATTGTCTAATAGACTTGTAGGTCAAAACTAAGGACAAATTTTCAAAACCAACCCATTTGATAAACTAATTGTAAAAAACGACCCGTTTCAGATTTATTTAGAGAAACCGACCTGGTTTCAGCACTGTCGCTGAAACCAGGTCGGTTTTTCTAAAAAACTTTACGAAACTTCACGGGAGTTCAACTCCCGTGAAGTTTTTTCACATAACAAAACTTCACGGGAGTTGAACTCCCGTGAAGTTTCGGAATTTTTTTTTCAAAAACCGACCTGGTTTCAGCGCTGAGGCTGAAACCAGGTCGGTTTTTACAAATAAAACTGAAATGGGTCTTTTTTTGGGAATAGTTTATCAAATGGGTTGGTTTTGAAAATTTGTCCTTTTTTTTCCCTATAAATAAGTGGGATTTCTGGTATAATGAACTCACAGTGAGTTCTTGAAGAAGTAGGAAAAATTTAAAAGAAAGAAGATGGCTCGTTTTTCTTTTGATCCATCCGCTGTTCTCGTTCTCGTTGCCTTGTCATTTCTGGTAAAAAAAAATTAAAAATAAAAAATAAAAAAAGTAAATAAAAACCAATGCGTGTCCAGTCTCTTTATATGGCGGATTCCAAAATTTTAGATTTAATGGCTTTATGATAGTGTTCTAACTGTTTAATTTTCATTTGGTGCAGGCGGCGACCGTCTCTTCTGATGCCGCAACCGCCCGTCCGGTGAGTTTATCGGCAATGCAGTATATCTTCTCTTTTTCATCTCACATTTTGTTGCATCTACTAACTTTGTACACGTATATATCTTTGTTTTCTATATATATGTTTCAGATGGGTGGGGAAGGTTCCCTTCGTCCAGGCCGTACGTCTCTCAACACTATATATCTTCCAAATAAACGACGTACTCCGTTAAGATAAATAATTTCTCGAGTTCTGGTCAAGATGCCCAAAAAAAATTATTAGCTAGAGGAAATAGATACTACTACTATACGAACGAAGGAGAAAAGAGAGATGTTATTATAGGAGCTAATAACTGATGCTCGTCTTCTTTCTTTTTTTTCGATGTTTTATCGCAGAATGCGGGCCTGCATGCGAGCACAGATGCTCGGCGACTTCACACAAGAAGCCGTGCCTGTTCTTCTGCAGCAAATGCTGCGCTGCATGCCTTTGTGTTCCGTCCGGGACTTGTGGGGTAACAGAGAAGAATGCCCTTGCTATAACAACTGGAAGACCAAGGAAGGCAAACATAAGTGCCCTTGAGTGTTGAAGAGCATTTGTGTTAAATGTTTTTTTTTTTTTTTTTGCAAGCCCCCTGTTAATTTGTTATTTTTCCTTGCAGTAGATGTAATCATCTTAATTAGTTCCCTAAATTATTGAACTTGCTCTTACATACCCTAAATCATTATGAGTTGTTTGAAATTAATTCCCCTTAGTTAGCACTTGTTTAATTTGGAAAATATTCCTCCAATTATAACTTTTTAGAGTGGATACCCTATTTCATACAAGAGTGGGAAAAGTTTCCACATCTCTCGGAAATTGAAGAGAGAATTGGGAAAAGAGGCAAAACCGACATTTGGTGAGCTCGAGTGAGAACGGTTTAGTAGTTACTTATCCATAATTAAAGGTTAATCTAATCATAATTAAAAAATTGGATAGAATTCATAGCAAAATAGTTTAGTAATTGCTCATTCATAGTTGAGAACTAATCTAACCATGTTTAAACATTTCATTCAGAAATTTATTTTGAAATTTTTGGATAAAAATATTTGGGATATGTACTGTATGTGAAAGAAGCAAAAAAAACATTAAATATTTGGTTTAGAAATTTCTTTTTAGTTTGCCAATAATTTTTTTAGAGTTGTACTTAAGATAACCACATACCATATTTATATTTTTATTATTTTGATAATCATAGTGTTGTATTTGCATTGTATTATGAACTTTTTATTTGACCCACTAAACCCAAATGAAACAAACTGGGTCTTACTTGAGCTACAAGAGCTCATCAGGCTTAGATTCATTACTGGTTTTCCCTAAATGCAAGAGATGCAGTTGTACTATTGTTTAAATTACTTTCCTTGATGAGAAAAGAGGCTTAGATTCCATTCTTCTTAAGCTTAGGAAGCAAATTTCGTTGTGTATGTCTTCGGTAATGGGGAGAGAGTAGTTAGAGAAACGGTGGCCTTTTCTTTTTAAAAAATTTAATAAAACTCCCTTAAGTTTGGGCCTTTCCTAAATAATCCCATTTAACTTTCAACAAACTTAACTAAAAAAAATGAACCACAATTTTTACAGGCAAAAAATATTTCCAAGTTAATTTTGCACACATGTGAAAACTACGCTCGACGTTGTTAGAGGGGCTTTTTGAATAATGTTGAAAGTGGAAGTTTTTTTTGAAAACCCAAAATATAAAGAAAATATAAGGTGATTTCTGGGCATTTTGAAGGTTAAAGCAGGAGATGGCTATTTGAGGAAGGACCATTTAGGGGGGGGGGTCCTAAAATTTACCGATATCTTTTCTATTTTGGCTTACTTGCACTTTGGCGTCCTGTTTGTGTAAAATTTGTAATAAATAAAATAAAAGAAATTTGATTTGTATTCTCTCAATCTTAATTACAATTTTAATTCTGATTATAAAAGAGAAGAGAATTGATGTAAATTCTCCCCTTTGTTTAATATTGGGTTCTTCACGGTAGCGATGAGATGTCTCCCTCGAATGCTCGCGTCAAGTTTGCTTCTCGTTGACGATCCGAACATCTTGTTTCACTAGAACGATATCTTCTCCTCACGATTTGACGCTGTGGAGGACTTGCATGGCAAGTTTGAAACTCTGAACGAATTGATAACTCAGAACGAGTTTAAACTCTTATAAAAGAGTTGATTGATCTTAACCATAATTGGTTAGACAAGCCAAGCACGAAGATAGCCCCAAGAATCTGTTGCCGAGAAGATGATCCGAAGAAGTCGATCTCTAGTTCTCCAAAATTCTTAAAGATCCAAAGATATCCCCTCCCTTCTCCCCTCCGAACTAACCTGATCTTTCAGCTATTTATAGGCGATTAGGGGGTGTAACCGCCCCTAAAATCGCTCCTTTCTTAAGATGAAGAAGGCGGAAAGGGGTCAAATAGCTAATAATGCTCCGCAACCAAACTTCGCCCCTAAGGGAAGAGGAAAAGCACACGCAAATGCCATGAACGCGAATCAGACGTTTGAGGTGCAAGCACAGCCGCAACAGCAACAGCAAAAGGTGCCTCAACAACCAAGGTGGCAACAGCAAACCCCGAAGCCAAAAGCCTCGGAGCCAAAGTTCCCAAAAGTGGCGATTAGGGGGTGTAACCGCCCCTAAAATCGCTCCTTTGTGGGGCTAATGGGATGTAATCGCCCCTTAAATCACTCCTGAGTGGAGTTGTGATCCTCTCAGATTGTGGGAAATGG